AAATATTCTCAAATATTCTATTTTATCTTATTCTCAAAATAACCTTGATATAAGTTAGATAAAAATGTTTGTTCGCGTTCGATTAGTTTATTAAGTTTTACATAACCTAAAAATATTCTCAAATATTCTATTTTATCTTATTCTCAAAATAACCTTGATATAAGTTAGATAAAAATGTTTGTTCGCGTTCGATTAGTTTATTAAGTTCTACATAACCTAAAAATATTCTCAAATTCTGCTAGTGCCTTTACAGTTATTTTTGTAGAAAAATGCATAGAATCCACGGTCAAGTTAGAAGTAGCGTTATTCATTACAAATATCTGACTATTTATCTATGTAAACATTCTATTATCCAAACGTTTATTTTCATATGATTAGTTATGGAATAATTGAGGTTTTACTATAATTCGAATCTAACTTTTCTAATTCTTCGAACCTTAATGCATTTAGTAGTCTCTTCATCAATACAATTACAAAGCTTTTACATTTATTAAGCTTTTAGCATTACATTTATTAAGCATTTATTAAGCTTTTACGTTTCTAGACGGCTTCAGGTTGATTTATTTATAATGATAGGAGCTCTATGCTCCCTTTACACCGCTTTTCTAGTCATTGTTATAACGAATCGGAGGTAAAGGCTGCGAGATAAACGTTTGTGGATTAGAAGGGAGAATCGTAAGGGAGGGTTCGAGGGTCGAAGAAGACCTCTCCAAGGGCAAGGTTGTTCCCTGCAGCCGTTGATCCTCGTTCATTCGATCGAGGGTGAACCATGAATGAAGCGCTCGACGAGTACGCGCCCACGCATCTGTCCACGCACACACCCCTGTCGAGCCTGTCCCGGAGCACGCATCCGCAACACGCGCGAATTAGGTCGAGGGTGGTTTCTGGACCTCGCTCAATTTGATCCCGCTGATAATTAAACTGCGGACCACCCGTGAAATTAAACTTCAATGAAAATATCCGAACGCACCGAGCGATATTTTCAATTTGAAAATGCTGCATTAAACGCAATTTCTGCTAAAGAAATTCACTCTCTGCCATAGTGAAAACATGGTGGCTTATGAGGGTAGATAAGAGAATTTATCTTCGCGAATCTCTTTAGCACAAATATTTAATTTATATATAATTTATATAATTTAGCCCGCTCGTAAGTCGTCGGACATTTTTCATTAGACTGCGGAGATTCTACATTTATAGCGCAAATAAGTAGTTAGAACATCAAAGTGTAAACACGTAACTTCAAGAAAATTGCTATTCTCTCTTCCACTTTTGAAAATCATTCAAAGAACGAACACATTTTTAATTAATTGCTGCTTCTTACAATGGCATTGGAAACTTTTTATTCCGCGACTGCAATAATCACGAGACAGACAGAAATTGCTTTCTTCCTGAACTAATTTCAATGAGTTCAAAACAATACAGAGACGTCTTCAAATTCTCTTAACAGTCTTATTGTTTTAAATTTCACCTAATCATTTGTATCGCAAATGCATAGCAACCGCAGTCTAACGATAACTGTCCAATGATTCATGAGCGGGAGCGTGTATAGAGCTGTAAATAAATTTGTTAATTACAGTAATCAATTTTTAGTTGCTACGACGCGGAAATAGTTAATGCAACGCTGCTGGCCCGGCCCGTCCGATGGGACAATTCTGTATGTAGCGCCGGTGCCGCCGTCCCGCCCCTTGGGACAAACATGAATGTACCGCGGGTAGTTCGGCCCGACGTGAACGTGTTAAACAATTTTTAAAGCGGGAAATTGCTCGCGACGCGGGAAACCACGCTCCGACCATGGAGAGATTATAAAACTGTAACAACGTGAAAGCAATTGAAAGTTTCGACGTCGTTCAGGGAGTCGGGCGTCCCTTGAGCAACTTAAAAATTAAGTACAACAGCTGCTCGGCTTCGTACTTTCGCCAATCTGATCGGAATCTTCAAAGGCTCGCCGGATTAGGTTCATTCCGGAGGAATCCGAAGCTTCTGCGAGCGCCGCGTGTAAAACGAACCCAATGAAAAGAGATCTTGAGACGCCTCTCACGCTCTTGGATAAATTCGGTCCTCTCCTTTCGTGTCTTCTCAGTGTTCCTTGCTTGTTCACACTGTATTTTAAGAGTTTCAATTCTGTGTGTTTCTACTTCCGTATTTAATCATCTCGAACTCCCGTACTCAATGGGAGTGTACAACCGGGTATCTAGGAACAGTAAATTCTCCTTAATCGACGCTCAGATTGTACACAAAATGATTTGCGACTTGTTTTGATAATTGCCTATTATCAATAATTATAAAAACGAAATGCAAGGCTCGAATAATCGTGTCTCCCCTTTCCAAATTGTCCAGTTTTGTGCACAATCTGAGCGTCAATTAGGGAGAATTTACTGCACTCATCTCCATTTTCCTTTAGTAATTTTTAGCAATTCCTGATAAAACGTCGCAAATCCACTCCGGACGTGATTTTCTGTACATTTTTACGTCGATCAACATTTCGCGAAATAAAGATTTATATAAAATCGACATTTTGGTTTATACAGGTAAGGGTTAAATCTAGTCGAGGTTTATAGAAAGAGAGCATTATATTAGTCTCTCATTTTTTATTAGGAATGGTGATTTTATATGCGGTCCACGAAGTTTTAATGCAAAGAATTAAATTGGTGTATAAATTTTGTCCCTTCTGATTTACAGTAAATTCTCCCTAATTTTCCTTTAGCTTGCAGGCAAAAATGGACAATTTGAGAAGAGAAGATACTATTATTTGAGCCTCACAACTCATTTTTATAATCGCCTATCGTCAACAATTATAAAATTATCTCCTCTTCCCAAATTGTCCATTTTTGTTTTCAAGCTATAGGAAAATTAGGAAGAATTTACTGTAATCGGTAATGCTGCCCTTAAAATTAATTTTCATTGGATTCAGCGTTACATCGAAAATGTTAAAGGCAGAGCGATCCGAAATTTTCAGCTAGACTGTAATAATGGTACTCTTTGTCATCAGTCACGCTGGAAAGTGAGTCCTTTGAAGTCAGTGCAAACTGCTCCCAAGAATCGAGTTTGCAAAAGACGTAGGTACTTTAGCGCGCGAAACTTCTGCGCCGACCTAATACGGCGTCTATCAAAGTAGCCTACTTCCAGAGAAGGAGAGAGGAAGAGATAGAGTAAGCGAGAGAATGGGAGAGGTTCCAGTATCGAGGCTTCGTTAAAGCTTCGGAAAGCTTTAGCTCGCTGTCGGACACAATGTCACGGAGCAACAAAACGTCTCTCGCGAGGAACACGTGTCGCGCGCAATTACCCCGTAAGTTATTCGTCCTGCATGTACACCGTAACCGGCGCCGATATTTCACGGTTCCTTTTTCTTTCCTACGCTATCCTAATTAACCGACCAACTAACGCGAATTGCAGAACTTTTGTTCGCGATGCCGCGCCGCGAAATTCCCAATCGTTTGATCTTTATTACCTTCGCACAGTTTTCCGTCGACCTTCTGTTTGTAATTGGAGGAAACGAGAGAGAGAGAGAGAGAGAGAAGGAAGCAAGGAAAAAAAAGAGAACGAAGGAAGAATCGAGAGATTGCGAGTTCTAATTGCGGGAAAGTCGAGGGAAAACTCGGATCGTGAATTCTGGAATTTTTCGCAGGCGGACCGGCGTCGCAATTTCTTGTAAGCGCCGCACCCGCCAGCAACGTTAATTAGCTAATAAACCGATAAACCTTGCAGGCTACGGGCTTCCGGGAAATATCAACGTTACCTTTGCCGATGATCCCGTAGCTTTCGAGAACGTTTCTGTATCCGCTCTTCCAGTCGATTATTGCGCAAGCATAAGATTCGAGGTACCTTCTACGATTTGCGCTCTGTAAAAGGAGCAACGATGCGCGAAAGCGGTCTCGACGTTTCGATTCGATGTTCAACGCTGGCAATAGGTGTTTCCACGCTTTCCCAGCTCTCTCGAAACATTTCAAACATTTCGATATCTAGAACCATTCGTATTCTTCCGCGCTTCCGTCCCCTACAAATATAATAATCAACTTCTAAGTTAAACTACGTTTTCGCCAGAGTTGGCCGTCATTTAAGTAAATGTTCGTGCAAATGATTACTTAGATGAAAAATTATTTGTTACCTGAAAGCTTAAGTAATAAAACAAAAATAATTACTTATTATTTATGGAGATCTGAATAAATCATTTAAAACAATAGAATTCGTTCCTTATTTATAAACACAATTTCAGTTGTTACCTGTTAATGATCATTTAATTGCTTATAAATATCATATTGTTAAAAATTATTATAAAAAATAGTTTAGTTAGTTAATCAGACAGTGTAGCAAAATGATTCTTTACATTAAAAGAAAAAAGATCATTTCGTAAAAATATTATTGGATCGAAAAATTCATAAACAATTTTCTTGAATATCATGTACACAAACCGCGGCAAAATTGTCAGCACGAAAACTTCATTTTCGTTCGAGTCATTTTAATTTTAATATCGACTAACTTGCGATTAAAAATCGCAATAAATTCTCAAATTCTCGCTCGAGGGGTTGGAAAACACGTTTCGCTCGAAGCTGAATAATGCGTACCAAAAAAAAATCGTAGATCAAGTTTTGAGGGGTCGTTGCAAAGGGGAGGCTTCAATCTACGATTCAGTGTAGCCACAGCCCCGAGAGAAATTCTCGTACGTCCATATCGAGCCCGACAAAACATGTCTACGTTCATTGTCGTACGCGATTCCGGTTAACGATCCATCGACAAGTTTTGGAAATTCCGGAAAGCGTTTTGGGCCAGCGAGCGGCTCGAACGCACGACGGTGACCCCCACCAGCCTTGTAGACGGCTGGAGGGGTTGGCGAACAGGGGGTTGATGCGCCAGTGGAGGTAGAACAGAGGCAGGGCTTCTGCTGGCGGCGCGACAGAGACGCGGGAAAGCCGCGAGTCGGAGGGGCTGGTGGGGGCTAGCTCGGGGTTGAAATCCGACAGGGTGAAAGGAGGGTGGAAAAGGCGCATGCCAGTTGTGCCGTCGCCGCGTTACGAGTCGGCCAGCAGCCCCGGTCGCGGCATCTCGCGAATTTTCGCCGGTGTGTGTTCCTCTCCGGCCGCGTCCCGCAGCCAGTGTCCCGGCGTATCTCGCGCGAGCGAGACCCCCGAAGTTGTGTTTCCCTTGTGTTCTTCCTGTTACGCGCACATGCATACGTCCGCGTCCACGTCCGCGTACATTCCGGGTGCGAAGTTGTCTCGGGAGCGGCTCGGGATGACGCGACCCGGCCGACGAGCGCTCCCCGAGCCTGTGCATCGACAGTGAGAGAGCAGCCAGAGCCTGCATTTTCGCGGCGCCGATCGATTCTTTTCGACAATTAGCGGTGTGCGGCTTCTCGGTGAAGGGCATCGACCCCCTGCCCTGCCTCGGCTTCCTTCTTCCGGGACGATCCCGCCCCTGAGAGACGCCTCGTGCTTCACGTGCGCGGCCAGCCTGCCGGCGAACGCCTCGCTCTCTTTCCTTTCCGGAGAGAGATGAGGCAGTTTCGGCTTTTCCGCGAGAGGATAGAGCGAGAGGATCCTTCGGCGATGTGGGATCTCGATTATCAGAGGTTCGATATGGATGTCAGTTGCTAGATGTAATGTGTGATCGACCTTCGAAGGGACGGAGACAGGTTCAACTATGTAGGAGACGAGTAGCAGAAGGGTAATCAATCGTTGGAACTAGGTGTAATCGTCAATTGCCTAGGTAATTAACGCTGAATCTATCGTCACCGATGAAACGACCGGTCTCACATTTCTATGTTTAAATTGTTAAAATTATGACGATTCTTTCTTGAGAAACGATCGAATCAATTTTTTAATTTAAACGTGCATTATAATAGAAATTGCGATAGGTTTGAATAAATACAGTCTTGTCGTCGTTAGAAAGCAACATAGTTACTTTTACAATTCTGTAGGTTTAGCGTTAAATGATTATAAAAACAAGGGACAGCGTACGCTCTGTAAAGATGTCCGAGGGTTGCTTGTTGCTGTTGGGAATAAACGTCTACATGTCTCATACGAATATCGATTACCAGAAATAATTGCACCGCGAAGTAAATTGCTACGAGCAACTGTTACAACAGCGAGTCCTTAATTGTGAAGCGAGTTGAATGGAGTCGAGACCAGGGGAGAGGTAGATTTCTGTCTTCAGTTATTTGAGATTCATGACAGCAATTGTAATTCCAGCGAATGGATAATGGCGAGAAGGGGTCGAAGGTTGTTTTAGGGGCTGGAAGCTTTCTGCTCGACGAGAATTATTCGGATGGATAATAAATAGCGATGGGTTCGACACGGAAATCAATTGTAACGTTGATGAATGGTGTGGAGCCTTGCGGGGGTTGAGACGGGCTTGGACGTGGAGGAGACAATTTTTGCGGATGCTCGAGGGTTGTGATTGATCGCGAAGAGGGTTGAAGCTCGTTTACGCTTATGGGCAACAGTTTCTGCGAGACTGGGGGAGGATTGCTTATCCGTGGGAGGAGGCGATGGGAGTTTGATGCGAATTGCCGGCAGCAATGAATGCTTAATTGCCGGTGCAGTTGCGATGAAAAATCAATTTCAGGAAAGATTTTCTATTAAAAAGTCCCTAAAAATTCGGTTAAATTTTTAGTTTCGTTAGGATCCACAAAATAGGGTAGTTCAGCCGGTTATTGTGGGATGTGGCTTTGGTTCGTTTTCAAGCGTAATTAACTTTATATTCATCGAATAAGATATGCAAATTTTTTGATTAAAGAATGAACGAAATAAACGTGAATTTAATTATGCCAGAAAGCAAACCGAAGCAAAGGTACGAGAAATTCGAAAGGCTTCGACGTCGAAGTAGCGCGATGTAATTCAACAAATTACACGGACTCTCGGCGTCCACGCGTTGAAAAGTTGCAGTGGCTGCAGCCGGCTTCGAATTTCCGCGAGGCAAGCGGTATTGGCGAACAAACGCGCGAATTATGTTTCCCGAGGAAACGCACAGCGCCGTTCCGCGAATTCTGCCAGCATTCTGCCACCGGTCCGAATACCCCGGCTCCGAGAAAACAGGAATTGTCAATAGAATTTGCCAATGGGACTTGGTAATTTCCAGCCTCGCTTTTGAATCTAGATTTAATAATTATCCGGGCACGGGAAATTGGTATAATGGGAACGCTTTGATCCCGTTTCCCCAGCGTTCATTACGCGAGGCGTTCCTAGCGAAACCCGCGGGCTTCTCCGATAGAGGGTTGCGAAATTTTCCGCTGTCGTTAGGATTTACCCGACTGAATTAGCCACGGATAATTCGTGCCGCGGACTTCCACGGATTTTCGCGTTTGTCCGACTCGCGGATTCGTGAAATCCGGCAAAGCGGACGGTTACGTTAGCTCTCTTGTCGTTCCTCAAGTATTAATCGAAATCGGTCGATTTCTCGAAGGATTCGATTAAAGATAGATCATCGTATCGACGTCGTGCATTTAAAGCGTTCTACAATCAGGCATATGATACTCGCAATTTTTCTTGCCACTAGACCGCGGATCTTTGGCAAAATAAAGATGTTTAAAGACGATTGCAGAAAACAGGAGTTCGATGAAAATAAATTGTTCCTTTTAGTCATTTTGACAAGTTGAGGATAGTGTCAGAATATTACCAGATTCTTCTTCTGTTTTCACAATTTTGTATTTCGTAATTTATAATATAAATTACATAAATATAAATAAATAATATAAATAATAAATATAATTATATGAATACAAATACAAATTTTTACTACGTATTTATTTATCATTTATGTAATAATTTAGGTTCTACAATACTTATTTCTTCTCGCAATTTTATAAACTTTGTTATTTTATATTTTATACTTTATATTACTCATATTTGTTATAAGTACATATAATCCGCAGTCTACTTATCACTATTAATATTCGGAAAGTGCTAACATTCTCATTTCGGTGTTCCCACAATTCAGTTTTACATGAAAACGCGTACTCGGAAAAGCGTACAGACATCAGCAGTTTATTAATTACACCGCGAATGCTGCGTACGCCCAGCGGAAAAATGAATTTCCAGGATTGGAGAGTAATTCAGTTGGCCGAATAACGATGACGTATTGAAAGTGTTACGGCAATGCACTTATAATTGTGCAAGAAAAACGAGAACGCGGGAGGCCCGACAGCACGCACAGCAGCTTTCCCATCGAACTTTTATCGGTAATCGATCGTCGCCTGGTTCGGCGAGGCCAGCCGAATTTCCATTCGAAGTTCGACCGGTATTGTGCGCGATCTCCCGGCATTTTTATCGGGTCGCATACCCGTTTCTAGCCGCGGCTTCGCCCGTCGTTTTCGGCGGAACGGAAGCGCGCGAAGACCGGCAATTTTCTCGGCGCGATAATGGCTCGCGATAAGTTTCCGCCTCGCGGGGCCACCATTGTGCCGCCGCGGCGCCGAAAATCAAAACTATCTGCACGTAAGTATGCGCCCAATGGGATCCCAGCCGTCGCTATTTACGGCGGCCACAAAATACGATATAAAACGCAAACGAGATCTCGTTCGTTACCGGATAACGCTTCAATTACACCATAAAAATAATGGGACGTTCCGCCTGCACCGTTCTCCCGCGGGACTATTGATTCGAATTGGTGGATCTAATTTCATAAATCGTGCTCCCTCCGTTTCATAATTTTCTGGTTTAAGCGCCGCGCAATCTTTTATATCTCTGGGCTTTTTGCACGTTTCACCGCGCAGTGCAGTATAAACAATTATACCCATTTCTAACGGATTTTAAGTTTTACAGATTATACGGATTAATAATCGTTCCCGACGTTATAAATTAATTTAATTTTACAACCTCGTGTTCCTCGCCATGACACCGTTTTGTTCTCGACATTATATCCATCCTTATAGTCAACGTAATTGGGTCAATAAAATTCTTAGAAATGCAAGCTTTTACGGCAACAAAATTAATTTTTTTCTATGATTCTCAAATCTTACAATTTACACTGTGCACTTTCTAATAAAATCATTAGTTTATATTATATTCTGTAATCTATAGGGTTAGTAGCTCGTTCAATTAATAAATAATAATAATAATAATAATACATAATTTTTTACTCGTATAGAACGTAACCGTTTTTGTCTATTATTGTTGTTGTCACTCGTCCAATCAGAAGTGCATTTTATACAGTCTAAACCATTTATTTACAAATGAACTGTTACGTACAATTATAATACATACAATTACGCACAATTATGTATATGTATATATCGATCCTTTCTGTAGATGTTCCTTCGTGCAGATGTTCCCTGACACCCTTCTTCCTCCTATCATTTTCCAAGTCCATCCTAGATCAGTTTTGGGTAACTTATCTTCGTGAAACAATTCAAGAAAAATTCGAATAACAATGCGGAGGCCTGTAGCTGATTCCTCGAGGTTTCAGAAAATAGCAAAATTATACTGATCGTAGTACTTTGTATGGACATAATGTCGTAGAATCCAGAAAGATAAGATGGAGGTGGGTTCGACGGTCGATTTTGGAATTTTTCGTGAATCGAGAGAAGCCGAGCCGAACAATCCCCCTGAAGGAGATCAAAGATGACTCCGCTGAGAAAGTTTTAGCATTTTCAGCGGGGATCCCGGTCTGTTTGATTTGCCGGCAGCCCGAGATGGGAGTTCGCCGATTAGATAAGTTTCCTCGTTGCCCTCCGGAGAGTCCCGAACCGACCCGTTTGGCCGGCTTCGGTTCTCGACTCGGTTTCGGACGCGTCTTCTGCTGCGGGGATCGTCTTCGCTACTTCTCTGCAAACCGAATCTTCCAGCTTGGTCACTTTTACGGGTCCACTCCGGTAACCGGTGTATGGCGAAACCAAAATTTTTCCTACGGAAAGAAAATGAAACAACTCAATATCCTAAGAGCAACAACTCAATATCCTACGGTTCTCGGTCTCAGCTGTCCACCATTTTGTTATATGCATATCCGGACGAGTTATTCCATGTTCTATGTTGGTCATAGGTTTCGTAGTTTATAAATATCCCCGTGGCTTTCGCTTTGAATTAGCTTCAATTACCAACTTGTAAAATTATTATATAATTTAATGTAAAAATAAGAAAAAATTATTATAGGTTAAATGTAACTTTTAATATAGCAAGTAATTTTAAAAATTTAATTCAATTGGTTTTATATAGTTCTGGTTCAGCTTGGATTAAATGAATTTTATTACAGAAATAAAGGAGAGTATAAATTTATTAGACAGCTTAATTGAAAAGTTTTCATAAGTTCGTTATACATTAAATTTCAATTTTAATAGAATCCGATACAATTTATGAAGTTTAATTAATCCTTTCTCATAAATTCGATGTACAACGTTAACTTTGCGTTTCAATAACTGATAGACAATTCTTTTAGATCTTCACGAATTGTTATATAGAAGATACCTGAAAAGTTTGTTGCGTAGAACGATTCTGTAGACTCCGACGAACCCGACGGCATACTTTAGCAACGATTCGAACGTGTCTAAATGCGGAGTTCTCAAAATTGGCAACGCTTGCACACCTAGGCACTTTTAAAGCGGACGGAACAATTAACGCGAGGCTCGACCTTGACTTT